GATTATTATGAATGAATGTGTCGAGATTTATTGAAAAATAGAAAAAGAAAGAGAAAAACCTTGATATATATTTTAGAAATCAGTCATTTAAACTATATGTATCACTAGTAAACCATTATGCGTTCGTATACTGAAAGTCATGAACAATTATTTCCACCTCTTGACCATTCATTGGTGGTTTACCTTGGAAGAGCCATAAGTTCATGTGCAGAGGAGCACTAGTATAAGGAATTGATGGTGCGAATGCTGTTGGTGTTTGGTATGAATAAAAAATATTTTCAGTTGGTGAAGTCATAAAACCATGTTGACCTAGGAAAGAAACCTTATCAGAGGTCCAAGTAAATTGATGAGTCGTGTAGGTTCCTTGCAAAGATATACGTGTGCCATTAGATACTGGTTGAGCAATACCCAATGTATGTGGATAGACTGTATAAAAATAATTCGATGCTACTAATTCTGTTCGACCCCATTTAGCTACTTCAATATCAATTTCATTCGTACCATCAACACCTCCATAAGTAAACAGACCCAACACTACCCTAGGGTCAAATTTATCAATGGCTCCTTCTACAAACCATCGAAAAGTGCCAAAACCAAATTTTACATTGGTATATAATTCAGCACATGTCCATCCACCTTTTCTACCTGAATAATTAAGTTTCAAATGAAGTTTACCATTGTCATCGACCCAAACATTAGTTGAATTCCAATTGTTTGGACCTTTGATGAAAAGAAACATATAAGAATGTTTTTATGCTAAATTGGTTAAGTCTATAGTTACCGGGTCCACTATTTTGATCGTCACGTAGGAACCATTGATATCCTGCCCAGGTAATTGATTTTTGAGCATTTATACTGCAGACTATAATATAAAAGAGAAGATCGTTTGATTATATGTGACAAACGATAATGTCATAAACAACAAACACATACCTAGAGTTAATAAAAAAACTGCCGCAATTGTTGATATTGTTCGCATCTTCATGAGAATATCTTATCTTTTAATGATGTCCTTAAAAAAAAACATATATTCTATTACTTAGTTATGACGAAAGTTATAGATATTTCTACATGTATGTGGATAAAGGCCTTGCTTATCGTATAGAAATACCAAATTGTGGAAGATTATATAATTGCAAAGTGATAAAAATAAACCTAGACTATTATATATTAGTGTTTAATATTGTTAAAAGAAAAAAAAAATAAGCTCAACTATAATATAACGAAAAAGTAGCTACACTTCTGAAGCATTTCATAAACAAGAAAACACGTGATATTTACCGAACAGGAACGATTGAAACTTAACTACCTATTCATTTTCTTTAGTACATTGCTTTTCTACTGATTAAGAATTGCATCCACATATGACGCATTATATGATATTTTCGACAAATCATATGTAAAGTAACTTTGTTCGACGAGTCAAATAATATTTGCCAAACGTATTCAAAAGAACATATTTCACTTAGGTAAGCGAAGAAAACTATAAATTCATTATGGAAAGATTGAAATAAAAAAATCACACTTTGGTGAGCTTTTTCCTTGACCTCTGTTGACAATGTATTTTTATTTTGTATGAGTCGTGATCTACTTAAAACCAAAGAGTGCATCGAATACGCTGGTTCTGAATAATTTTGGCTATTATTACATCAACATTGTGAGAAAATATCACAAGTCGATAAAAAAAAGTGATTTAAATGATCCAGCCGTTTATAAAGACATTGAAATATATTTTTCGTTTTTCCTCAGTTTTTTTTTTATTCATATTATTTCAATTAACTATCTCAATCGTTTCGTGATTCGTCCTACCAATCATATGTTCTTTACAAAATATTGTCATTTTTCTCTTACCCTCATATTAACTATCGATTCTTTCTTCATATCTTTTTCATTTCTATTCAGTACACAATATAATTCTATAGAAGAAAAATATTAAAGGTGACTTTTTTTGTGACGTTTAATTGCTAACTAGTCATAATCTTGTGTAAAAGGTCAGTTTTATTTATTTCAGAATTAAATTGAAAATACTTGTGTAATGTATCATTCGTTTGAACTTGATCTGGGCAATGCACTACAAGATGGGCTCATATTTTGCGATTTTAATTATTATATTCCGGTTTAATGCCAAATTGAATGTGATCTTCAGAATTAGAATAATAAACTTAGTCAAGTAAAATATATTTTATCACGATTTAGAGAACAGAATTTTTGCGTAGAAAACTATATTATCGGACTCAGTTTATTATGCTAATTCTGAATATCATATTTAATTGGACATTAAATCGAAATATAATAACTAACATCGCAAAATACGAGCCCATGTTGTAGTTTATTGTCTATGATATTGAATGTGTTTTTTTTTAAAATGGATATTTTCAAAAGATATTAGTTGAACAATCGATAGAGCTTTTCAAGTTCTAACGAATGATACATTGCACGATTATTTTCAATTTATTATGAAATAAATAAAACTGACCTTTTATGCAAGATTGTGACTAGTTAGTAATTAAACGTCACACAAAAAAGTCACCTTTAATATTTTTCTCCTATAACGGTATGTTTACAAAATTCCACCAAAAACAATTAAATATCATATTAATATGAAACAGTAGAAATTAAGAAAGATGCTTCTCCATCTAAAATATTCAATTCATTTTGAAGTTGATTAATGAGTAACTTAGTCGAGAGTTCCGTAATTTTTTTTATTGCATAGGCATACAATTGAAGATATTCTCTACGTAATGACAAAGATTGTGGGTACATTTAGAGAGGACACCACCATCTTCTTAATGGGAAGCCTTACACTTACTATTTATATTTGCTTGATTATTCAATATTTGATGAAGCTATCCCAATAATAAAAAATTGTATTTTCTATCGATTAATAGCTAAAGGTAGTTGTATCTGATATCCATATACCTTTTATTATAATTAATGCACAAATATATGTATATATATATATGTAGATTGACGTATAATAAGTATGGTATAATAGCATTCTCGCACGTTAAAAATCATACCTGAAAAGGAGAAAGAGAAAGGTTTGATGAATCACATGACAGACGGGGACAAAATATATGATATAAAGATAAGAAGTAGCTTTCCCTGGACTGTTCGTTCGTTATTTGTACTTGCACGTGCTGCTAGGTACTTGAGATGCGACTAATGGCGTGCGCTTACTAATGCATGCAAATTAGTCAATCTTAGTAATCGTTTCATTTTCGCCATTCCTATGAATAGACCGTATACTTATTAGAAATAGTGGGAAAAAAGGCATGTATAATAAGAAACTTCCTTTTTAAATCAAATATAAATTAATTAGTTACCTACATATACAATATTTGTGTTTTGTCATTTATAAAATATGTATTTTTGTCATAGCTCTTTTTTATATGCAATTATTTGAAATCTTATTCTGCTAATTTGCTCAATCTTTCGAATGGAAACAAAATTATATTGACTTCGATTTCTTTTTTTTCATTTCCTTGATATGTTGTAGAACGAAGCACACTACACAATATTACCATAATATCTATCGATCAATGTAAATATATATGTATTTATTTGTTTTCTAGAGCTTTTTTCTATTTGTTGAAGTGATGATTGATGAAGATTGTGAGAAACACGTGATGGAATATATTTAATCTTTTGTTCTATCTATTAATTTTTTTTCCTATTTTATAATCTTGACCGAAAGACGATCATCGTTTTGATCTTGATTTTGCATCATTCGCCGAACTAGACAATGATTTGTTTCTGTTACATCTTTGTCGTCTGCTCATAATAGTATCTCCCTCCTACAATAATGAATAGTATGGCATCAAATCATTTTGTCGTTTGAATTTTGTATTTCTTCAAAGTATGATATATGAAAGCTCCAGCATTAAATCACCTAACAGTACATTACGAGCTTCAAATTAGTGTAACACTTGTTATTGAAAAAAGATCTACTCAAAAAAATTTAAGAAAAACTCGAGTCTTTTTTTAACTTTATGTTCCGTTCACTGACTATTGCGTTCTCGTCTTGATACTCATGTAAAAAGTTGCCTGAAACGTAAACAATTACTCTTTTTCTGAAAAATCATAGATATGCAACTTAGTTGCAAAGACGAAGGTGTTGTTTATCAGATTGTTTAACAATTTAATGTTAACAACTAGATGAGATCCTCTTTCATGATGAAATAATAGGTCAATTTTTTGTCAGAAATTGTCATTTTAGAAACTGGACTTGTATATTATGTTAAAAAGAAAGCAAAAAACTTTAGACATCGCTGATTATGCCAAGAGAGAGATTCAAAGTAATTAAAATATCGACTATGTATTACTTAAATAATCACATGTTGAATTTGTATAACAGGGAACGCATTCATCAGGATAGTAAAAAATAAATTCATGGAACTAGTATTCGTTTTTGAAAATAAGACGGTCCAAGGGAATGCCTATAACTTTTGAAGGAACCGTGATAGAGATCTGCGATTCTCATCGTTTTGTAGAGCACATCAGGACATGTAGTAGTACTAAATATCAGACCTACAGATAAAGTTTAATATAGTATATATTTCTCTGCAATATTCATGACGCTCTCGTTCCCTAATAGTACGATGAGTTTTGATTTTCAAATAGTGAGATCGATAGCCCATATCGAGATCTACAATTCTAGAGCAACCCCAGATCTTCATCTCATACGGTTCAAAAGTTATAGATATTCTTTTGGACCGCCTTATTTCCAAAAACGGATGGTAGTTATTATCTTACTTGTCTTTCAACAAAAAAATGAAGATCTATACCGCGATCTCATTTTTCTTTGTTATCTATTTAATTTAAGGAATCGTATGTATAATTGAATTAATCATTATTATTATCAATCTAAGATATGATTTCAATTAAGATTGGTGAACAATGTTTGAGTGATCAATGGCCACCAAAACCCGATCGAACGTTGGAAAGATGTTACAGTTACTTATAAAAATGAAGTAAGATCAATTTTCATTTTGATCATTATGAATGTCATTCAACTTAGTGATTTGGTTGCTTATTTGAAAACATTTATTATCGAAATTTCACCAGAATTTCAATTGTTGAACAATCTTATTGATACTAAATTAGTAAGTCTTCAATACTAATTTTTTAATTCATTTTATTTTTCATCATTCTATTACAATAGCCGACCATGGTTGATATATTACCAGCACAATATGGTGATGAAATGAAAGGCAGCAGTCAAGCATTTGGATTACCATTGGGTAAATTGAATAAAATAAACATAACGGAGAAATTTTTTTATAATTTATTATTTGTTGTTATTTAGATGAAATTGTTTTATACAATATTTTTTATGAAATTTCATCCTTAGGTACATCTGTTGTGGGACAAGATCAGTATGGCAATATCTTACATGGACAAAATCTTGACTTTGGAGGAGCTATGGAGTAAAAGAAAAATAAATCCTTTTCTTTTCTCTTAAAAAATTGAGACGTTAATCTTACAATGAATTATGTAGATAGAATCCGGTTTTTTTTAAAATAAACATTATTATAAGGACTCACAAGTATGCTACTAATCCAACTTGATATGATCAAAACGAAACTTTTGTAGCATTCAACTGATATTACTGTCGAGTAGTTAATCAAAACCGCATACTGAAAAGAGTTTTAAAAAAGTAGAGCCTATCGAGTTCAGGAATCACTCGACGAGACCTAAATGGAAATCATAAGAATTATGATTTTCAATTTTAGGAAGGCGAAGATACATTAGAAAATCTCGATGATATATTCTACCATATAAATCTATGTTCTAGTTGGGATAAGATAAATAATACTTGGACATTAACAGAAACGTTACGTCCACTAATGGTTCAAGTCAATTACACACAAAATGGTTAAGTTCTCTTCAAAACGACGACCTTTCTCGGGTATAATAAGTTTAATCATATGATTGTTATAAATCTTTTTATTGCTTCGTTTAGTTACATTGGATCATTGACTGGTATAAAACCAGGTATATTTAATATTTCAATCAATGAACGTAATAGTCTTAAATGTGGTTATATTGGCCTAATTGAATGGATATTTAATATTAATCGTAATCAATCATTTATTACATTTGTTATTCGTGATATGCTCACAAAATCTGATAGTTATGATGAAACAGTAAAATATTTAGCTGACGTTTCACTATTAGCTCCATGTTATTATATTATTGCTGTGCCGAAAGCTGGACAAGTGAGAGCATATACTAGATTTTAAAAATATATTCATATAGAATACTGAATTTTTTTTTGTCTATGAAAGGGTGTCATTATAACTCGGTCACGAAATGGACCTGATGATATCAAACTATTAGGCAAAAATAATTGATGGTTTATAGCTCAAACTAATTATGATAATTGGAAAAAACAACCAATCTACGATGATCGTTTAACACCATGCATGAAATGTATGGAAGCAAAAGGCAAAAATCAAGTTACATTTCAGTCTTTATTTAATGTACTTTCTTCCCGACCTATGCCAAATAAAGTAAAAAGTGTTCTTTTTTGTATTGCTGCTTTGATTCTAATAGTGTTCATTTTTTGTTAGGAAACAGTATATATATCTTTGATGGAGCCAGCAACAGGTCGACCTTGGTGAATGGATTTGTTTTTCAATTGAATAGATGTTGCACACCTATCTTTATTTTTTATTTCATTTGTGAAATGAATTTCCATCATGTGTGATATCATAAAGAATTGATTGATAAAAATATTGTTCTTTTTGATTTATACAATAAAATTTTAATACATGAGAATTCAATGAAATGGTAAATACAGACACATACATACCAATTGATTTCAATTTTAAGGGAAGATGACACTGATAAATTCAAGGTTCGTGATGTAACAAAGAAACTTCAAACGTTTGTATGAAGAAGATTAAGCTTTCTCTAATTCTTGTTTACTTACGCCATTACTGCAATGCATATAAGTTATAGACAATAAATATCTGACCGAACATGGTATACAATGTTTAAGAACATTACCATCCTAAATGATCACTTACTAGTACTAATTTATGTAGAAATTCGTACATCTCTCTTTTTTTCAATGCATTAGATTTGGATGTAAATGTAGGCTTTCTCTATTCCCAAACTTAGTTCTTTAAATTAAAACCTTGAAATTGTAATTCATTATTGATGAATCTACTTGATAATGAACATGTTAAAGTTAAACGTGCTATTTATTGAGTAAGATGTTTTATTTATGCAGTCGAATTGAAGAACTGAGATCGAACGGACCAATCCGCCAATAACTCGCAGTGCCACTAAATGCATATTCAGATGTATACATATCATTGGTTTCTATGGTTAGAGTTTAGAATAAGAAGAAGGCGATCAAATATTTAGTTTAGAGGAACATAGATTTTATTCGTTGTCTAGAAGAAAAATATGTTTCAGAAACATTTTATGTGACATTATTAATGTGCTTCTGCTTACATTTCAATTTCAAACTAAATACTAATGCAAGTTTTTAAAAAGTTAGATTTTTATAACTTATCATTAATAAAATTGATTTTGAGTAACGCACTGTTGAACATTTATCGGTTTGAGAATCTAGTTCGACAGAATTTCATATTGTAAAAATGTTCATCAATCACAAATTGTGCATGAAATAGTCGTGGATTTGACTTGAATACTGCATTTTCTAAAATATTCTGCATATCATTCATTTTGACGTTGCATTTTTTGAAAAAATTATTATCCGAAATAATACACAATATTAAAAAGACTAATATTCTTCTAATTAACGATATATATTAAACAATTAATCATCATTCTATAGCTGTAGAAATAAATTAATTCAAACTTTTTCAAATTTCAATATACAATCAATATAGATGTATATCTATAATAGTAGTTCTTGAAAATATAGACACCATTACTATAATGGTATGAGAAATTTTTCAAATTTAAACTGAATAAAAATATATGAGTAGTGAGCATTAATATATGTATGGGAGAAAAAAAATCGATGTATCGCTTTTTATAATGATATTTTTTGCACAAAGGTACTAAACAATCATTAAACGACATAAACATAGAATCTGTCCAATGTATGCGAAAAAAGAAAACATGAAAGAAGATATTACAAGCAATATTGTCGAATACTAATTAGAAGAATGATAGAGCTAGTCAATTGTATTTGACTTGCGCTGTTGCACAGTTCATTGTTACAGCAACAGAATAAAACTTTCGAGTCGAAAAGTGTTTCCTGGCGGCAACGATTTTTCAAGCACAAAGATGTCTTGCCATTCAAAAAAGGATCAGCACCTCGAGACACAATTTGTCGATCATTATTTTCTTCCTTCGTTTTCTAAAAAATAATATAAGAGATATGAATATTGATTTACAAAGCAATATGCTAAGTCGTCTCACTCAACACCACCCCTTTTCTGACGTGATATTTTGCACGCCATAAGCATTTTTATGCAACGGATTCTGACAGCTCAAGTTCACGTTGCAGGATTAGCATCGAATAACAGCTGTATTGTGCATACCTGTAACGAATACATGTTCATCACCAAATATGTTGTGAAAAACAGCCATATTGTTCATGAATATAAGAAATTTTATAGTCACTGGTATTTAGTCAATATTTTCTTAATGAATACCTCACAAATAAGTTTCTTTTGCTTCCATTATTTGTGAGTATTAGTAAAAAAAATGCTAATACCCACTAGCATCCATAACCCTAGCATTGTAACAAGACAACCATTGCATAAACAAAAGCTTGACCCGCAGACTCTACAAAGCCTTATAGGAAGATACTATTTCGAAGTGTTTCGAATGTCTATTTCGAGTTCCGACATTATTGATGGTATATGTGTAATCGGTGGTAGATCATTTTCGAAAATTAGTGGGTATGAATGTTTATGTGATTGTTGATGAAATCCTTAAATGAAAACTGTTTTATACCTGAGAATAATAACAATATTAGAGCAATTCGAACCTAAATAATTGAAATCGGAAATCTCAGAGGAAGTCTTATAACTCTCGAATGAAACAAGCTAGGAATGTTGATCTTACGTAGATCAAAAGAAAATTAGCTTCAGAATAACATTTTCGAAAATCTTCACCAAGAACTCACGTGATCGATCAATGACTCACCAATGAATTTTCAATACAGTTTGATGCCCTAAATCTTTTCTTTTGAATGATGATAATTGAAGATCACTATGATTTAAAGCACAGAGAGCATCATTCAAAACAGTTATATCCATGTTTTCACAGAAAGAGAACTTACATTTTTTTTAATGAACAACAAGCGAAATTTCATTCAATTCAAATCTCGGTTAAAAGCTATCAATGGTTTCCTATTTAAACAAATTACGATAATTGAAAGAAACGTAGTCTATCTTCTATAGTCAATCAACACAAAAGATTAAATCTATTCAAACAACAAGTAAAGATTAATACTACTTTCGAATCTTTATTTAATCGTCTTTTGTCACGATTTGTACTGAATCAACTTTAATTTTATTTTATTAATCATTCAAAATAATTCTAATTCTGTGAGTGAATTCTTTCGCATAATGAAGTGTATTCATAAGATCTGATCATAGAAGATTTTCTAAATAAAATAAACAATTCGGTTTATCTTTTATTCTTGTTTTTCTTTTATGCTGATCTTATTCCATAAAACTGTTTTAATTTTTTTTTTTAATAATTGAAACAAAATCAATTTAAACGGTTTGTCGTTTTTTCCATTGTTCAAGTGGTCCATGATTAGGTAAATACTTAACATTGGCACCATCATATTGTAAATTTCCTTGTTGCAATAAACGATCATAATCTTGACGTGTAAATTTTGTAAAACCCCATTTATCGGAAACAAAAATTTTTTGTCGACCTGGAAATTTAAATTTAGCACGACGTAATGCTTCAACTGTTTGTGCTTTATGTTGATCTTTAACACGAACTGACATAATAACTTGTCCAATATTAACACGAGCAACAGTTCCTAATGGTTTACCAAAAGCACCACGCATACCTGTTTGTAAACGATCAGCACCAGCACATGATAACATTTTATTAATACGAAGTACATGAAATGGATGAACACGCATTCGTATATGAAATGCATCTTTACCACAATGTTTAACTAAATATTTATTAGCACAAATACGTCCAGCTTCAAGTGCTTCACTTGATAATTGTTCATATTCATCGGATACAAGATGAACACATAATGGAAATTCATCAACACGTGCTTTCTTTCGACCCAAATCAAATATACGAATTTTTGGATCAGGTACACCACGACAAAACCGAGATTTTGGCTATAACAAAAAAAAAATTAAATAATGAATACGATTAAAATTGTGTATTGTTTTAAATAGAATAACTTACATATGGCTTGTTCTTGCAATAGCGATAGCATCGTGCAGGTCGTCGACCCATTTTTTTTTATTTTTATCTACAAAGTAAAAATAAACAATCGATATTGAATTATTTTTACTAAACAAAAAAAAAAACAAAAAATAAATATAAATATCTAATAGACACTACAGATTCATTCATTATATGACTCTATTCATGTTTCGACCACCATAATGAAACAGTATATTATAACACACTGAAGCAGATTATTTCAAATGAATTACTTCATCATCATAAAGGTTCATAATTGAATTTCTATTGGTTCTTCATTTTATTATTGATAGTTGAGCAATGATTGGTTATATTTAAAGATGTCCCCTAATGTATATTGATATCATAGCTAGCATTATAAGATTAGAATTTCTTTAATCTTCGCATTCTGATTCGGTACACTATTGTTACCTATTAGAAATTTGATCGTTGTAATTTGCATGTAATTGAGTAATAATTTTCAACGAATAATATTCTCGAATATTCAAGTAATCAATTGGCTAAAATCATTTAACCAATCAGATTTAATTGAAATTGGATCATAAATTATTGAATTTGTATCTTTATACTGATTCTTCCATTTTAAGTAGACGAAGTGCAAAGGTCGAACAATTATCTAAAACTTAGTGTACGTAGTTGCACTTAAATGTTGTCGAAATGATTTATATCTATCTTGGATGGTTTTTTTTTATTGCATCTAGGTGAGAGTCGAGATTTGATCGAAGAAACAACCCTAGATATTGTTTTTTATACATGGGCACATTTGATATTCAAACCAATAATCATATGAGTACTAATAGTGAAAATACAACCAGTAGTGATGGTCAAAATGAAGAAATTAGTTCCTTACGTGATTACTTTAAAGATAAGATTCGTATCTTATCATCGATTGGACAATTTTCGTATATTTTAAAAATTCGACCTGATCAATATGATGTTTCATTAACATTACAAT